TTTCCCCGAGGCGAAGCCGAGGGTTACAGTATTTTTTGTCATTTTTTTCCATTTATTTATAATTTGTGTACTTTTTTTTTATTACAGAATTTTTTCGGCTGAATAGTGCTAATTTTAATTTTTCTCAAAACTTTTCAAAATTATCTTTTCCATTTTTCTCAGTTACTTGAACATAGATACTAAAAAAAATTGGGTAGTCTTTGACAAATTCTCTCTAAGATTCAATTATTACCAAATTTAATAAACTCAACTTATTAGAAACGAAGCTGCTAATCTTCCCGAGGCGAAGCCGAGGTTTATAGTTTTTTCCCAATTATTTGTAACATATGGAAAATTTTGTATACAACATAATTTTTTTCCGCCTAATAAATATCACAAACTTTAATTTTTCTCAAAACTTTTCAAGTTTATTTTTTTGCCATATTTTTCGATTAATTTAACATAACTTAAAAAAAAAATAGATTTGTAGTCCTCTATAGGAACCAGTACGTATACACTAAGTTTAATAAATCCAACTTATAAGAAAAAAGCTTATAATCTCCCCGAGGCGAAGCCGAGGGTTACAGTTTTTTTATTCATTTGTAATCTGTGTAATTTTCTTTGTATTACAGAATTTTTTCCGACTGAATATCGCTAATTTTAGTTTTTCTCAAAATTTTTCAAAATTATCTTTTCCATTTTTCTCAGCTGCTTGAACACAAATTCTAAAAAAAAATTAGTATTCTTTGACAAATTCTCTGTAGAATTCATTATTACGAAATTTAACGAACTCAACTTATAGGAAACGAAGCTGATAATCTCCCTGAGGAGAAGCCGAGGTCTATAATTTTTTCTCATTTATTTGTAACCCGTGGAAAATCTTCTATACAACAATTTTTTCCGCCTAAATATCACTAATTTTAATTTTTCTCAAAACTTTTCAAGTTTATCTTTCCCATTTTTCTCCCATTTGTTAAACATAAATTCCAAAAAAATTTATTTGTAGTCTTTGAAAAATTCTCTATAGGATTCAATAAGTACATACTAAGTTTAATAAAATTCAACTTGTCGGAAAAGAAGCTGCTAATCTCCCCGAGGCGAAGCCGAGGGTTACAGTTTTTTTTTATTCATTTGTAATCTGTGTATTTTTTTTGTATTACAGAATTTTTTTCCGGCTGAATATTGCTACTTTTAGTTTTTCTCAAAATTTTTCAAAATTATCTTTTCCATTTTTCTCAGTTCCTTGAACACAAATTCTAAAAAAAGATTGGTACTCTTTGACAAATTTTCTTAGAATTCATTATTACGAAATTTAACGAACTCAACTTATAGGAAACGAAGCTGATAATCTCCTCGAGGCGAAGCCGAGGTCTATAATTTTTTCTCATTTATTTGTAACCCGTGAAAAATTTTCTATACAACATAATTTTTTCCGCCTAAATATCACTAATTTTAATTTTTCTCAAAACTTTTCAAGTTTATTTTTCCCATTTTTCTCCCATTCGTTCAACATAAATTCCAAAAAAATTTATTTGTAGTCTTTGAAAAATTCTCTATTAGATTCAATAAGTACATACTAAGTTTAATAAAATTCAACTTGTCGGAAAAGAAGCTGCTAATCTCCCCGAGGCGAAGCCGAGGGTTACATTTTTTTTTTTATTCATTTGTAATCTGTGTATTTTTTTGCATTACAGATTTTTTTCCGGCTGAAAATCGCTAATTTTAGTTTTTCTCAAAATTTTTCAAAATTACCTTTTCCATTTTTCTCAGCTGCTTGAACACAAATTCTAAAAAAAAATTAGTATTCTTTGACAAATTCTCTGTAGAATTCATTATTACGAAACTTAACGAACTCAACTTATAGGAAACGAAGCTGATAATCTCCTCGAGGCGAAGCCGAGGTCTATAATTTTTTCTCATTTATTTGTAACCCGTGGAAAATCTTCTATACAACATAATTTTTTCCGCCTAAATATCACTAATTTTAATTTTTTTCAAAACTTTTCAAGTTTATCTTTCCCATTTTTCTCCCATTCGTTCAACATAAATTCCAAAAAAATTTATTTGTAGTCTTTGAAAAATTCTCTATAGGATTCAATAAGTACACACCAAGTTTAATAAAATTCAATTTGTCGGAAAAGAAGCTGCTAATCTCCCCGAGGCGAAGTCGAGATTTACAGTTTTTTTTTATTCATTTGTAATCTGTGTAATTTTTTTTGTATTACAGAATTTTTTCCGACTGAATATCGCTAATTTTAGTTTTTCTCAAAATTTTTCAAAATTATCTTTTCCATTTTTTCTCAATTCTTTGAACATAAATTCTAAAAAAAATATGTGTAATCTTTGACAAATCCTCTATAAGTTTCAATTATTACTAAATTTAATAAACTCAACTTATAAGAAATGAAGCTGCTAAATCTTCCCGAGGCGAAGCCGAGGGTTACAGTGTTTTTTTTTCGATTTATTTTAATCTGTGTAAATTTTTTTGTATTACAGAATTTTTTCCGGCTGAATAATTTTAGGTTTTTTCAAAATTTTTCATAATTATTTTTTACATTTTTCTCAGGTCCTTGAACATAAATTCTTAAAAAAATCAGTAATCTTCGACAAATTCTCTAAGATTTAATTTTACTAAATTTAGTAAACTCTATTTATAGGAAACGAAGCTGCTAATCTCCCCGACGCAAAGCAGAAGTTTATAATTTTTTCTCATTTATTTGTAACCTATGGAAAATTTGTATACAACATGACTTTTGTCCTCCTAAATATCACTAACATTAATTTTTTTCGAAATTTTTCTAGTTTATTTTTTCCATTTTTTCTCAATTCTTTGAACATAAATGCTAAAAAAAATATGGGTAATCTTTGACAAATCCTCTATAAGTTTCAATTATGGTTAAATTTAATAAACTCAACTTGTAAGAAATGAAGCTGCTAATCTCCCCGAGGCGAAGCCGAGGGTTACAGGTTTTTTTTTCACATATTTGTATAATCTGTGTACATTTTTTTGTACTGTGGAATTTTTTTCCGGCTGAATATCGCTAATTTTAGGTTTTTTCAAAATTTTTCATAATTATTTTTTACATTTTTCTCAGTTCCTTGCACATAAATTGTTAAAAAAATCAGTAATCTTGGACAAATTCTCTATAAGATTTAATTTTACTAAATTTAGTAAACTCAATTTATAGGAAACGAAGCTGCTAATCTCCCCGAGGCGAAGCAGAGGTTTATAATTTTTTCTCATTTATTTGTAACCTATGGAAAATTTTGTATACAACATGACTTTTGTCCCCCTAAATATCAGTAACATTAATTTTTTTCGACAAGTTATAAGAAATGAAGCTGCTAATCTCCCCGAGGCGAAGCCGAGGGTTATAGATTTTTTTTTCATTTATTTGTATAATCTGTGTACATTTTTTTGTATTGTAGAAATTTTTTCCGGCTGAATATCGCTAATTTTAGGTTTTTTCAAAATTTTTCATAATTATTTTTCCATTTTCCTCAGTTCCATTGAACATAAATTCTTAAAAAAAAATCGATAATCTTCGACAAATTCTCTATAAGATTTAATTATTACTAAATTTAATAAACTCAATCTCTTAGAAACGAAGCTGCTAATCCACCCGAGGCGAAGCCGAGGTTTATAATTTTCCTCATTTATTTGTAACCTATGGAAAATTTTGTCTACAACATAACTTTTGTCCTCCTAAATATCACTAACATTAATTTTTTTCAAAATTTTTCAAAAATATTTTTTCCATTTTTCTCCGTTTCTTGAACATAAATTCTTAAAAAAAAAAATCGGTAGTCTTCGACAAATTCTCTATAAGATTTAACTATTCCTAAATTTAATAAACTCAATTTATCAGAAACGGAGCTGCTAATCACCCCGAGGCGAAGCCGAGGTTTATAATTTTTTCTGATTTATTTGTAACCTCTGAAAATTTTGTATATAACATAACTTTTGTCCCCCTAAATATCACTAACATTAATTTTTTTCAAAATTTTTCTAGATTATTTTTTCCATTATACTCAATAATTCGAAAAAAATAGAGTTGTAATTTTTGACAAAGTCTGCATCAGATTCAATAAGTACTAAGTTTAATAAATTCAACTTATAAGAAGGATTACAGTTTTTTTTTCATTTATTTGTATAATCTGTGTACATTTTTTTGTATTGTAGAAGTTTTTCTGGCTGAACATCACTAATTTTAGTTTTTTTCAAAATTTTTCAAAATTATTTTTTCCATTTTTCTCAGTTCCTTGGAACATAAATTCTTAAAAAAAAATCGGTAATCTTCGACAAATTCTCTATAAGATTTAATTATTACTAAATTTAATAAACTACTCCTATTTTATAAGAAACGAAGCTACTAATCTTCCCGAGGCGAAGCCGAGGTTTATAATTTTTTCAGGTTTATTTGTAACCTGTGGAAAATTTTGTATACAACAATTTTTTCCGCCTAAATATCACTAACTTGAATTTTTCTCAAAACTTTTCAAGTTTATTTTTTTCCATTTTTCTCAAAAAAAAAAAAAATAAAAAAATAGGTTGAGTATCTTTTACAAATCCTCTGTAAAATTCGATTATCACTAAATTTAATGTAGACAACTTACAAGAAACCAAGCTGCTAATTTCCCCGAGGCGAAGCCGAGAGTTACGATAGCATTTCCCCCCATTTATTTGTAACCTGTAGAAAATTTTCCAGAGTCACAATATAGCTAATTTTACCACTCAGACTAAAAAATTTTGCTAAAATGAGGTTATCAACTTTTAACAACAATTTGGCGATTCACACACAATCTTTTATGTTGACGTCAATGTGCTATTTTTCCCACAAGTTCGTTAATAACCTTATTATATAATCTCCTGCATTATTGTGTCCAATAATAGTCAAAATTATTATCTTTTGTCGCTTCGTGAGAATAAAATAGCGCTTAACCTTGTCGCTAATATTTTAAGTATGATAATCAGACTTCTGAGATTTGAGACGTCACGATAACGAAAACAAAGTCACGAAAAAGAGAAATCGAATATATTATATCTTGTTAAAACAGATTAGTACATAAAAATATATAAAACTATGACAACAAAAGTAAAGAAAGTAAAAAATATTTTGACTAAAAAAAGCACACAGCCTTTACAATTTCGATACAACTCAGTGAAAAACCACACACACTAGCGTCCAGTTAGTTAATTTCGTTAGAACTCAGATTAGTAACAAAAATAGCTGCAATTTGCGACCCGAATAGTTATTTTTTGCTCACTCTAATTTAAACCTAAAGAAACAGACGACGAAGGGGAAAACCACGCAGAAATAAACCAAGAGCACTTAAAAACTAACAACAAACGAAACTTGAAAAAAATCAAAAGCAAAACTCTGGCTGGTTCACCCCGACTTTTGTACAATTTAAAGCTGTATGTTGGAAAGAGCCAAAACTTACGTATCTGACAACCCAAATTTACATTTTTCGAAATCGACAAAACGGACTAGAATCTCGAAATTTATTTCGGTTTTCAATTCGTCAAAATATTGTTAGTTTTCCTGTGGCTTTCGTAGGCTATGACGACCCCGTCGTGGTTGGGTTTGAGCACGTCGGAGTCTATGTTTAGCTTCTCCTCGACCTTCAAGTTCGGCGCTAGCACCATGCTGCCGTGGGGGCCCTTCACCAGGTGGCCCACGTTCAGCCCCACGTGGACCTCGTCGCCGAGGTGGTGCTTGATTTGGCTTTCTTCCAACCCGAAAGTGTCTGGAAGGTCGTATTTTTTCAGGTCTTGCTCGATCTCCAGGTTGTTGGTTTGTGGAGGCACCACGTTCTGGTTTTTCTGGAAGGAAGTCAACACTTCTTTCAGGCGACTCAAGTCGAGCTCCAGGTCCTCCGAGTTGTGGATGTTGACGAAGTTCACGAACTCCATCAGGTTCTTGTCGCTGAGTTCGTTCTCCGAGCCTTCGATGATCTTCAGAAGGTCTTGGAGCTGGTTTTTGTCGTAGCTGATGTTAGTGTCTTCGCCTTCGCTCTGGATGCTCTTGAGCAAGTTGATGAGTTTGGAGTTGAGGTCGTAGCGTTGCTCGGTGGTGGTGTTGGTGACGTCGAAGTTGACAATCGGGGGGCGCTTATGACTCGGGAAATGCAGGAGTTCGGGGACCTCGGGCACCGGTTCTTGGGTTTGATTGGAGAAGAGGTCGTGCGGAAGCTCCAACGTCGTCTGCCCCGTAATTTCGCAATCCTCCTTCTGGACGGTCTCGCAGCTCTTGCAGAGACACCTCTTGATAATTTGTACCCGTTTTTGGAAAGTCTTCGGGGCTTCGGCATTCTTACCATCCGTTTGTAAAGTGACCTGTGGACAAATTTAGTTACAATTTAATAACCACGGTTGGTGTGACTGCTCACGTGGTAACACTTCGTTTCCACTGGTTGACAGCTGTCACAATACGGACCAATCACCTCTCCCGGTTCCGCCGGCTGCGTGCTAGGTATACTATAGCTATAGCACCACCCCACGCACACGTTGTTGTCGATAGTAACGGGTTCGTACCCCGGAGACGCCACCACCTGCTGGATCCTGGTGGTCTGGCACCTGGAGTACTTCTCGGGGTTCAAAATGATGTTGTGGACCTAAAAAACACGGTTTGAGGGGGACACCCTGTATGGTGGTCAACGCACCCTGTGCTCGCCGCGCGACGTCCACGCCGTGGACGCCGTCGCCAGGAGGAGGAGGATTTTCAGCATGGTGCACCTGCAAAAGTCCGATTGGGTCGATAATGAGTGCTCGCTGTTATTTATTACGTTGTTTCGGAAGTTTACCGTTACGTCTGAGCCGCAGACGAGGAGATTGTTATTTTCGGTCTCTTTTCCCGAGGGCTTGCGATGGTTTAATTGACGGAATGAAATCTAAACGGGAAAAAACGAGTGTGCTATTAAGTGTAATTTTGGGAAAATGTTGCGTGGGGATTAGGAAAGGTCAATAGCTGGGGTTTGGTCCAGGTTGGAGTTGGGTGAAGAATGGGGGCATTTCCGGTGAAACTGGGGGATTAATGAGGTAAACAGGTGCTTGATGAGAGTGCAATATTTGCGAGGATTATCGCGATAGCGCAATCTTTGTTTAGAAATTGCATCAAAACAGGTCATTGTGGTTTAGATTTCCTTAAATAAATAGTTCTGATTGAGTTTTTCAATTTTTATTGCGGTGATTATCGTCAAATATACGGTGTAAAATTTTTAAAAAACGACAAAAAAGCGAGACTAAAAGGTGCCAAAAAATAAAAAAAGTGACTAAAGAAAAACCAAAAAAGCAACAAAAAACACGACTAAAACGAAAAATGCGATAAAAAGGGAACAAATAAAGAGTGGAAAAAAGCGAAAAACAATCTATGAAAAAACACCCAACACCCCCCTCCCCCCCCCCCCCCCCCCGTTGGAAAAAAATAGATAAAAAAGGGGATGAAAACTCGATAAAAAAGCGAAAAAAACGCTTTTACGAAATGCGACTAAAAACAAATAAAATAAAAAGGAGGCCAAAAATGACAAAAAAGGCGCCAAAAAAAGTTGCGAAAAAGACGTAAAAGAACTAGATGTCCAATGCAAAAGATGGAAAAAAAGTGATAAAAGGAAGAGGTGGGCAGAAAAGCTAGAAAAAAGCCACAAAAAAACATCAAGAAAATGAGGATAAAAGTAAGTAAGTAAGTAAGTAAGTAAGTATTTATTAATGACCATTAGGGTACATAAGTCAAGTCAGATGAAGTTACAATATAAAGAGTTTAAAATTATACAATTTACAAGATAATTCAAATCGACTGGTAAAAACTACACAGGACATCGCTACAATTTAAAAATTCATCGAGAGAGTAAAATGCGTTTTTTAATAAAAAATTTCTTATAGTACGGCTAAATTGCGAAAAAGGTAAGTTAGCAATACGTTTCGGTAATTTATTGAATAATTTGGGCCCATAATAATTGATGGCATTTCTACTTCTACCTACACGATAGAATTCGGTGTGAATGCTATGGGTAGATCTCGTGATTAATGACATATTTGTGGGATTATTATAAGTGGTGAGATTAGACTTCACATATAATAAAGCATATAAAATATAAAGACAGGGCACGGTGAGAATACTTTTTTCTTTAAAATAATTTTTAACACAAGCTCTGTAAGATAGACCTCCAATAATTCGAACTACTCGGCGCTGCAATTTAAAAACGGTTTTTAAATGACTGCTGTGGCCCCAGGTTATAATGGCATAGCTAAAAATACTTTGAAATAAAGAGTAGTATATCATCATAAGGATCTGCTCACTAACCTCATATTGCAAATTCCTAATAAGAAAAGTTGATTTGGACAATTTTTTACAGATATCAATGACGTGATTATCCCAGCATAATTTCGGGTCCAGTGTCACACCAAGAAATTTGACACACCTCGGATTGTCAATCTCAGAAATGTAACGAAGGGAAAACACCATTTTTTGAGTTTTCAGTACATTAAGCGTTAATCTGTTTGAAGTAAACCATTCACTAGCAGCATTAATATCTTGTTCCATCCTGTCCAAGAGAGACGGGATGTCTGAGTCCACACTATAGCAAGTAGTGTCATCCGCAAAAAGTATGATTTTATTGTCTAGATGTTTAGCCAAGTCGTTAATGTATAACAAAAAGAGCAACGGACCTAAAATCGAGCCTTGTGGCACTCCTATGTTAACTATTGTCATTTCGGAGTATACATTATTAAACAGAACAACCTGCTGGCGATTGTGGAGAAAACTAAAAATAAGCTGTAAAGCTCCATTTGACAATCCGTACAACTCAAGCTTGTTTATTAGAATGTTGTGATTAATACTATCGAAAGCTTTTGATAGATCACAAAATGTGCATCCTAAGAATTGTTTTGTTTCGAAACAGGTAATGACCTCATCAACAAGCCTATTAATAGCCATGGTTGTACTTTTGCCATGTTGGAAACCAAATTGGCGTTGGTTCAATATATTTTGTTTATTAACGTATTCCTCAAGTTGTTTAAGCATAATCTTTTCTAAAATTTTCCCAAAAATAGGCGTTATAGAGATTGGTCTATATTTATCAACATCATCTACGTTGCCCTTTTTGTGGATAGGGATTACTTTGGTCACCTTGAGACAGGATGGGAAAAGATTTTCATTAATACACCGATTGATCAATCTTGTGAGTGGAACTAGAATGAGATTCTTAATATTCCTAACAATGGTGATACTTATGTTGTAGTAGTCCTTACTTTTCTTTTTTTTGATGGAATCAATTGTATCTCTTACTTCATTAAATGTTATCTCTCTGAAATTGAAAACAGAGTTCACCGGAGTCAAATTTTTGTGCATTAGCTGAATTGGATCCGTATTTGATAATTTTAAATTATTCTCCAAATTATGTGGGATATCACCAAAAAATGTAGAGAAGTCCTCCGCAGTCAGTTTTTCTGAATAATTATTGCTACTAGCTAATCGTTTGCTATTAATTAATTTCCAGCTGTCCTTTGCTACATTAGTAGAATTTTTAATTAGGTTGTCATTAAAGGTTTTTTTTCTTTTCTTAACTTCGGTTCTAAACAATTCTCTATATTTTTGAAAATAGGTCACAAAAGTTGGGTCATTAGGATTTTGATTGTGTAATTCGTGTAACAGGTCTACATTTTGTTTCATTTTATGTAATTTCTCATCATACCAGTAAGTATCATCCTTTTTAACATTTTTTATTCTTTTTACTTTTATAGGAAAGGCCATGTTTACTTTATCAGAAATTAATTTGGTGAATAAGTTAAATTTGGTATTTGTATCAAGTCCAGCATCATTGATAAAATCAAAATTGCAATCACTAATAATATTAAAAAAATTAAAGAATCCTACTTCCGTAAAAGGTTGATATGATACAACTTTCGAGCAGTCTTTTGACTTATGACGATTATGTGGAATTTCTACAGTAGCAGCACGATGGTCAGATAAATGAGTCTCCATGACCTGGTGCCTACAATCATGTGCGATATTTGTAAGTATATTATCAATACACGAATTTGCTCGCGTGTTCTCAAAGATTAGAGGTCTCAAATTATAAGATTTTAAAAAGTTAAGGAACTCTAGAGTCTGTTTGGTTTTGCGGTCAAAATGTATGTTAAAGTCTCCATTAATAATAACATCTGAATCGATTATATTGATAAAATTAAATAAATTAGTCAAATTAGAGTATAAAACTTCCAGATTGCCTTTTGGTGCTCTGTATACAGTTATTATGATTAGTTTGGGTTTATTAACTTTAATGGCTGCAAGCTCAATGTCAATTACATTACAAAACTTTGAAACATCAATAACTTGGTATTTAATTTTATCGTTTACTAGTATCACAACACCGCCATAACCATTATCTTTCCTGGTATAGGCAGAGGCTATCTTAAAACTACCCAATTTTAATAAATCCAACTCATAGTTTGTTAACCAATGTTCTGTAAAACATAAAACATCATAAGATTCTTCAATGTTATGTAAAACTACCTCTACTTCATCAACTTTTTTCCTAATCGATTGTACATTTAAATGGAAAATTGAAAAATAGCTATCACTAACTACCGCTTTACTCGTTAATTTTTTTTAAAATGAAAAAACTTGCGAACACATGCTCCTACAGGCCAGATGTTGGGATCCAGGGCTTTTCCGAAATTGTCAGCATATACAGACAGCTTGAAAGATGAATATTCGCCTTTGTGTTTAGCTTCCAGTTCCTCGCATTTTGCTTCGGGAAAATGAGATTTAACAAACGTTAGTACGTCTTCCTTTTTGGTATCTGGGTGTAACCTATAAACATGCAGATCCATTAGTTTTGGTATAGCTTTCAAACTGCAACCTGCAGCAGCGAAACAACCAACTACGGCTTTACGTTTTTTCTTCTCAACTAGATTCCATTCATCATTATGGCGTTTTGGAAGAGCCTTTGGCTGTACTTTCATTGTGGGCTGTATAGACTTTATGTTGGGTGATGACATCACAGGACTTTTTGATGACATTGCAGGACTTTTAGATGACATCGCAGGACTTTTTGATGACATCGCAGGACTTCTTAAACCTTTGACAGAAACTTTGACAGAACTTCCACCATTTTCCTTGTTTACCTTTTGCTTATCTTGCTTAGCAGCGACTGGTGTGATAGAGGACTGGGAGAGTTTTTGCCGTTCTTTTTCCAGTTGTTCTAGAAGGCAAATTTTTTCTTGTACGAGATCGATTTTAGACCGTAGTTCTTCAATGATCACATCTTTCTGCTGCATGACATACTTAAACATGGTCGCATCAACTGGTTCAGTGATGTTTGATAAATCGATGATATCATTTGGCTCAGGAGTAGTGTCTTCGGTAAACGGAGAACAGGGTCGATTACAGCACAATATAACATCTTCAGAATTGAACTTCCCTTTACTGAGCAACTTTCCACAACTTGTGTGATAATAAGACAAACAAACATTGCATTTTACACCACTTAATAAACTGGCTTTACACTTTTTGCATTTCATTTTTAATCGAGTAACTTGCAACGCGTCCACACTTTACGAGCTCTCGATTCGAAAAGGGGACGAAAACGCCAAAAAAAAAGACGGACAAAAAATGACATTCAATAAAAGAACAAAAACCGACAAAAAAGACGAAAAAACGAAAAAAAGAGGCAAACAAAACAAAAAAAAGTGCCAAAAAAATTGACAAATAAAACGACCAAAAAAGGCCACAAAAACCATAACTGAAAAAGACCATAAAAAAGGAGGGTTAAAAAAAGGTGGAAAAAAGTGTCAAAAAAATGTGGCAAAAATAAAAAAAAAACCGGTTACAAAAAAGAACAAAAAAGTGACAAAACCGGGGTAAAAACAATGTTAAAAAGAAAAAGGTGAC